ATATAATAATAATAAATAGATTTGAACTTCAAGCAAAGACTACTGCTTCTGCTCCTGAATAAAGAAAAGGAAGCATGCACCTTTGCACTGACAACACTGGATGTAAGTTTCAACTGAATCTGAATTAAAAAAAAAAATTTCCATTCCATTACTTTTAAAAAATATTTTTATTTTGAAATAATTAGATTCCCTGGAAGACGCAAAAACAATTCAGAGAAGTCCCTTGTACCCTTTGCCCAGTTTCCCTCCACAGTTACGTCTTACATAATATATAGTACAAATTCAAAACAAGGAATTGGCATTGGGAGTCAAATCATGTGGTCTTTTCCTTTTTATAAATTGTTCTACCCATCGCTCAGAGAATTGCTAAAATCTCATGCTTTCTTTTTTTAATTCAGTTGATTTTTGTTTAATATGTTTTTAAGTTATTTATTAAACACAGACGTATTTATGGTTGGGCATATACACATTATTTCTTCTTGAAGAATTGACCCTATTATTATTAATTATCCCTCTTTATCTTTGGTAATACTTTTTTGTCTCAAAGTCTATTTCTCTGCTATTCTAATGGTCACTCTGGTTTTATTATTCTTATATCTTTTTCTATCCATTTACTTTCAATCTGTTTCTTTATATTTATGGTGAATTTCTTTTAGACAACATATTGAGTCTTCCTCTTCTTCCTTCTCTTGTGCTCTTCCTCCTCAATGATGGTGACAGCCAGACTTAATTATTTAGATATGAAGAAAAGGAATATAAGTAATTCTAAATAAGATGTGCTGAGAAAGGAACACTATACAGACTCAGTCTTACCAGAGGGGAGAGTTTGTGGAGTTTGGTAATCTGATTATAACAAAATGCTAAGCTTGTCAAATTCATAGGTTTGATTTCTCACAGTTTTGCTTGTTTTGTATAGACTTTGAATTTGTCTAGTACTTGCCTCGAATTTGGACTCTGCTTTCCAACGTATACAAATCTGAAGTTACATAAACACACTGCCACCTTGTGGGTCATTTCTTATCTCCCCATCTCTCTTCAAATACACAGAAATAGACGCATTCAGAAAAGTTGAGGTTATGTCAACTAAGTGCTAAGTGCTGTACTAAGAGCATTACATATGTAATCTACTTAAACTAAATATGGCTGTTATGAAGTATTAATAATTTCATTTTAGAGATGAGGAAACTAGGCTTAGAGAGGTTATGTAACTTGCATGAGATCTCACAACTCTTAAGAAATGTAATATAATTTAATCTATAGGCAACTTGCTCCCAGAACTTGTTATTTTATTGCATCAATGTGCAAAGCCAGTAAATGTAAAAACAAAACAGTATGATACACAGTATGAATGTTAGAGAAGTAGTATAGAGGGACTGACTGTTAGGAAGGCCCTTACAGATTTGCGAAGAGGTTGCCTTCTGTGAGAATTTGAAGGATAATCATTCTTTTTTTCTTCGTTTTTTTTTTTTTTTTTTTTTTTTAATTTGCCAGAGGACATGTGTGGTCACTGAAGAGAGACAGAGTAAGAGAAAGGGAAAGCAAGAAAGCTTCTCCCATGAGGGATGGTCACACTGAAATTCCTTTTCCATTTCTCCATCCTTTGGGGATTTTGGGCATGCGCATGTGTGCCCAATGAATTTTTCAAGTCACCGGGTCTGGGACTTGAACCATGCAGTTGGCCATGTAGGATCCAGCTGCCTTTAACCACCAGGATATGTCTTGGTCCAGAAAAATCATACTATAGAAGGAATATAGCTAAGACCATAGCCCCTAGATTCAAGAGGAAAGAATATAGGCCTGATAGTGATCCTTTGTTTTGTCTGCATTGCTTACTGCCTTCTTTGGGGGAAACTACTCCTCATTCTTCTTCAGCTATGATTCCAATAGAGGATTGATCATTATAATCCATGACTTCTCACCTATCAATAATTTGAGCCAATAAAAGCCCACTGGGCACCCTGGAATTCGAGTATCAGTACTATCTTCCATAATGACAAAAATGATGTGTGTGTGAGAAAAATGTGGCCAGCCAAGAGTTCTTTCATGGAAGATGATATGAAGTGGAAGAGAATAAGGACAAATGATAAGATTCTGGTCATTAGTAGGCCAGTTACACTGCTGACCTTCCAGTAATAATAACAATTCTTGTAGAACCAACAAGGTTTGGGTTTCAATCTAAGTTTCCAAGCAAGTTCTGTTGTCTTTTTTACTATCAGCTGAAGTTGGGGCAACAGTTATTACATACTCTTAAACAACATGAAAGACAGCAAATACACAAAACAATGAGTTAGCACCTTTGATTATGAAGGACAGTGCTATGCATTTATCCAAAGGCCCCATCCTGGAACACCAAGATTGGATTGTTCTCACTTAACACCTTTTAATACAATCAAGTCTCAACACATGAATTTTGTGGGGACAACCAATTACTGCCTATTAAGACGGAACTTTAAAACATGAATAATTGGGGGTATAAAACATCATCTGAATATAACATCAGTGTATTCAATCTATTCTCTCTCCTTTGTAAATACAAATAAATTTTTTTAAAAACAAAAATGGCTGGGCCAGCAGGTGGCATGGTGGTGAAAGATGCTGGATTTCCACATGGGTGACTGTCGTTCAAGTCCTGGACCTGGCAGCTTGCTTTCTTGTTTTCCCTTTTTCTCTGTCTCTTTCTGGTCATAATTTAAAATTAATAATACCAAATCAAATTAAATAAATAATTCTGTTAAAAAAAGGGCTAATTTTGATTTCTTCCTCCCAACCATATATACAATGAATTTTTCAGTTAAGTACTTTTCATTTGTACTATTTCCTAAATATTTCAAAATTCTGTCCTGTAAATAACCACTACCTTTGAATGTACCCAGTTCCTAGGGAAATGAAAAGTATTCTTTGTTCTTTGACCTGAAATGTTCTTTTAATCAGATTTCATCTAGTTATCTCCTACTCATTCTTTGGATGTTAGGTTGAATCACTTCTTTTAGGGACCAGCAGTTGGCGTAATGGCTATGTCTCTGGACTCCCATGTAGTCGACCATGGTTCGAGTCCTGGACCAGGTGGCTTAAACTCACACCAGGCACGTGTGTGTGTGCATGCCCAAGATCCTGAGAGGAGAATGGAGTAGAAGGGATTGCAGTGTGGCCATCTCCACTAGGGGCTACTTCTCGCTTTCTGTCTCTCTGTTTCTGTCTCTCAGGTGAGCATACATGCCCTGTAGCAAAAACCTCTCTGAAAAAAAAAGAGTCACTTCTTTGGGAAGCCGGATTTAATCTATTATAGTAAATCTATCATAGTATTCTTTGTAATACTTGCAAGAGTTCCAATTATTCTTATGTTAGGGATTATCTGGGTCTATACATATTTTTGTTAACTTGTTGGATCCCAGTGCTTACCACTAGTGTCTGATCTCTGCCAATTTTTATATGAATGAAAACCTACGACTTGTAATACTTTAGCTGCTAAGGAAATACTTTAATTATAAAAAGTAGTATTTATGTGGGGCCAGCAGGTGGCATGGTGGTGAAGGGTGCTAGACTCCCACATGGCTGACCACTGAGTCCTGGACTTGGCAACTTACTTTCTCACTTTCCTTCTTTCTCTCTCACTCTGTTTCTCTCTGGTCAAAATAAAATAAATAAATGAAGTTAAATAAAATAATTCTTTTTAAGAAAGTCATATTTATGAAGTGTTATTGTGTGCTAGGCACTCCTTTATACCATTACATTTTCACAACCCCCAAAATACATTATTGCTCATTCTGCAAATAAGAAAACTGAGCCTTCAGAAAAGCTAATTAACTTGCCCAGATACAAGAGACAGATACGATTTGAACTCAAGTCAATACCTTTATTTACATTGTTAGATTTGTTTGCCATTACTGGCTTCTTTGTTCAAGAATATGAAAGTCATCATATGCAGTTATTTTACGAATCATTCAACTTTTACATTACAACTGGTTTTTGTCACATGACAAAGTAGGAAGTAGGGCACTCAGAATAAGGAACAAAGAAACAGAATGTCTTTGGGAAGGGCAGCAGGAGAGCTGGGTCTTAGTTTACTTTTTCTTCACTAACCAGCCCTGTGGCTTTGGGCTAGTAGCGCAAATCCTTAGTTTTATAGATGAGACTAAATGGCTTGTACAATTCACAACGTGGCAGAGCTGCTCAGCCAACTCCTGACTCCTGTGTTTGTTCTGAGTCACACTACCCCTGAACACTTACTGAGTGCCTAGAGTATTAGGCATTCAGCATTAGTATGTTTCCCACGCAGTATCCTAGTACTGATTACGGTTACTTTCTTTCCTCCCTAATATTTTTCACTCGATTACTTTTTAAATGGCCCTTAGATTCAAAGTTAAAGTGGAAAAATCCCAGGGCAAGCCCGGTGTCAGGCACTGAGTGGCATGACGCTGGTTCGTCAGCTGGTCCCACGGTGGCGATATAAGCAGGCAGTGACGTCTTCTGACCAAGGGAGTGACTCCCAGAGAATCGGGGTGTATACGCGAGACAGAGAAGGGCGAAGCCGCTTCTCCAAGAGACGACGCCTTTGGCTTTCCAGTGACCCCACTGTCAGGGCTTCAGGAGGGAACTCTTTTCAGCGGAAGATGCCTTTGCTTTGGCTTCTGCTGCGTTGTGACTGGATGCCGGCCAGGTCTCCCTCAGTCCTCTCCACACCAGGTTTATCCTTCTTTCCGAGTCTCCAGTCATCAGGACGTTCTACCTGGAAGGTTGGCCCAGGAAGGGTCACTTCCATTACCGCCGTTGGTCTAAAGTCTCGGAAAATGCCCTCCTCTGTCCCTGGCTGTCCTGGCGGCCCCAAGGCCAGCCGGGTCAAGTTCCTTCGGGGCGCCAGGGAAAGGCCACAACTGAGGTGCTGCCACGCGAGGCCTTTTGGGCAGGTGCCAGCCAATCGTCACGAGTCATACACGAGCCCCAGCCAATCAAAGCCCGCCTTATTCCTGGGTACCGCCCGCTCCAGCCCTTTCTCCCTACCCGGCTCCGTGTGTTTGTAGTCGCGGCAGTAGGTGCAGCGGCTGCCTGAGCTGACCCGGGTGTGGGGACCACCCCTTCCCTGGCGCCCTTCGGTTCCTTCTGTTGCCTTCATTGAGGATGAGTCCCTGCGCGGCCGTGCGCCCACCCTGCGGAGACCACCGGCGCAGTTTCATCTAGCGACTGGTGAGGGAGGGCTCGGCGCGGCCCGACCGGGCGGAGAGGCCCGGGGGCCATGGGAAAGTATTCGCCTTCCAGCGGGAGCGGGTTTCTGCCCACGTCGGTGGCGCAAGTGGATCACGGCAAGGGGAGCCGCGCGGTGCGGAGGCTGCCTGGGCGCGCGCGAGGCGCCGTGGGCTGGCGGAGTGGTCCGGATCCCAGCGGCCGCCTCCCCACTGCCCCCTTGAGCTAATGAATGGCCTGTTCCAGCGCCTGCTACGTTGCAGTGCTGCCGACACGCCCTCCACCGCTGTAGCCTTCCTAGTGCCTAGTTCTGGTGTCCCTTCCCTTGGAGCCAGGGATTTGAAGGCATTCCTAGAGGTGCCTATGTCCCTTACCCCCTTCGCGTAGTCACAAAGTTTGAGCCCACACTGGGGATTCCGTAGGGGAAGCAGAAGGTTTACTGCGATTGATGAAAAAGAAACCAGTTCTTTTTCGGGTGTTGTGGGGAGACAGAGGAGACAGAGGCATTTTGTGCTTGTATCAAAGCAGAACTGTCAGGCTCAAAGTTTTGTAATAGTTCAGCTGCGAAGTAGGAAACCCAGGCCATCCTTGACATGTTGGAAAACATCTTCAAAAACTTCAAGTATGTTAGCCAATCGAGAAATTTAGGGGGAAGCAGAAATTGATGTTGTCACCATTTTTCTTATGTCTCCAGGTTGGGCATTTGAAATTCAAAATTTATCAGAAATACTGAAAAGATGTGACTTTTATGAGTTATAGTGTTTTCATCACTTATTTTGTGGTGCAAATTCACATACTTGTACAGACCTTTCTAGCTGGTTTCCCTCCTTTCTATTTTGAATTTCTTCATTTTTATTTGTTGTAGAAACTGAAGTAAGGTGGGTGAGAACTGTTTTCTAATAAGCACTGTGTTACAGGTATTTGCGGAAACTTTAGTTACCGCAGAATTTACTTAAAGGAATTAAAAAAAATTGTCCTGTTCCATTATTATTATTTTAGGTTTTTGCTATAAGGTGTGTGCACTCCTCAGAAAGAGAGAGACAGAGAGAGGAAATGTGAGAAATCCACTCCCCCAGTGTGAGTGTCATACTGCCAGGTCTGGGACTCAAAAGGGTGAGGGCGAGTGGTGGGAGGTGGAACGAACATGTGGGAGTCCAACGCCTGGCTCCACGTTACATTATTTTTAAAACTTAACATATTATGTTAACAGTTTCAGTCTGTTAACATCTATGTAAGTAATTACTACTTTTTTTTAATCCAAGTAATGCTTCTGGACCATACAATTCAAAAGACTATAAATGAATGTCCTTATTAAATAAAGCTCAGTATTACTTGGTTAATTATAAATGATACAAAATTATTTCAGTTTACTTTCATAAATAGGAGAATATTCTTTCCCATATCTAGAGATGTGCTTGCTTCTGAAAATTTGGGCAGTCTCTCTATTGTAAAACTAGATATTGCACTAATAAAAGTATTGAGCCGAAGTTTCTATGTTTTATACTTGAGAAAACACTAGAATAAAATATCATATTGATAAAGCTATTATTAATATACCAACGTAGTGTTGGTATTTTAAAATGATTGTGAACTATTTTGGGGAATTTAAAAAATTATTATGATTTGCAAATTATATAGCTTGTAACAGTTTTTTTTTTTTTTTTTTTTAAGTTTTTGCTATAGGGCATATGCACTTGTTGGAGAGAGACAGACAGGGTGGTAGTGGAGAAAGTGGGTCTGAAAAACCTCAAGGGGAAAAATCTCAAGGGGAGATGGCCATGCCATCCATAGTGCCTTCATCTCCATTCTCCTCTTGGGATTTTGGGAATGCATGTACACTGGGCTGGCATGATTTTCAAGTCGCCAAACCAGTACTCGAACTGTAGTCGACCATGTGGTATCCAGCTGCCTTAACCTCAATGCTACTTGCAGCCCAATAGTTATTTTAATATTATACAGATACAAGTTGATAGGGAAGATATTTTGATTATAAAGAGCAGTTTAAAAAAGAAAATTATTGAATGTGTGTTTTATTAAGAAATTTGAACAAGTTTAGCATTCTCCTCTCCCTTCTACCTTGAGTTTAAAGTCTTTATCTGTAGATATACTTATCTGTAGGCAAGGTAGATTAGAAAGATTATGGCCATTATTTTGCAAGTGAGGAATTTGAGGATTAGGGATTTGGGTACTTGTTCAAGGTTTTAGGTAAGAATCCAATTCTTTTTTTTTTTTTTCTTTGAGAGGTTTTTGCTATAGGGCACATGCGCTCCCCAGAAAGACAGAGGCAGAAAGCAAGAAATCACCCTTCAGGGGGGATGGCATCCCTTCTCCTCCATTCTCTTCTTGGGTTCTTGGGCACATGCACATGCGCCCGGTGTGGATTTAAGCCACTGGGTCCAGGACTCAAACCATGGTCGACTACATGGGAGTCCAGTGACATAGCCATTACGCTAACTGCTTGTCCCACTCATGGTACAAATTACACAACTACCATATTGAGAAAGGAATGCTCATTCTTTTCTATCAGCTGAGAAAAAAGGTCCCATCAAGATGATGACAAAGTACTTATTGAATATAGGCTGCATCTTTGTTAATAGCTGAATACTTTTGCTTCTTTTGAAGTTATTTTAATTATTTTCGTTTGTCAATTTTAAGCCACTGGGTCTGGGACATGAACCACGGTTGACTACATGGGAGTCCAGCGACATAGCCATTATGCTAACTGCTGGTCCCAAGAATCCAATTCTTAAGGCTACAAATGAGGATAGTTTTTTTCTACCATACTATACTACTTCTCATTGAAGTCTCTCTAATTGCATTTTTTTCTTTTTCTTTTTTTTTTGGAGAGGTTTTTGCTATAGGGCGCGTGTGCTCACCAGACAGACAGAGAGAGACATAGAGACAGAAAGCGGGAAATCACCCCCCAGGGGGAATGGTCACGCCGCAATCCCTTCTCCATTCTCCTCTTGGGATCTTGGGCACGCACGCACACGTGCCCGGCATGAGTTCTAAGCCACCTGTCCGGGACGCGAACCGCGGTCGACTACGTGGGAGTCCAGCGACTTAGCCATTACGCTAACTGCTGGTTCCCTCTAATTACATTTTGAGAGATCAATTTAGTAGAGTAGAATAGGTAGAATCTACAATAGAGTACTTTTTTCTCATGGTGTGATTTTGGATAGATTGTTAATGGGTGGGAGAATGTCGAGTTGTGTTGTGATGTCCTTGGTTCTTTGGGTCCAGATTGCTAAAATTAGAGATCCGTCCCTAGGCACAAAATGAAACCGCAACCATGAATGAAGTAGGTAGAAGAGAACATTTAATAGGAAAGAAAGGGAAGTACACCCAAAAAGGCTCTTGGGCAGGCAGATTGCCAGGTGGCAACTGTGCTTGATACTGGTTAATTGTTACTTTTATTACTAGAGGTGATCATGAATATTTATTGGTGGGAGGTCTGTCATACTACCTACCTCCTTCCTTTGAATTAGAATTTGCGCGCTTTCTCCTGTGCTTGCTCTTCTCTCACAGGTAAGGAATGAGGAATTTGATTACCTTATTGCTCATGCCCAGTGTGAGCCAGGTTGTTTAATTAGACTGCCTAATTAATTCATCCTCCTAGTGGGAATTAGGGCGTTGACCAAAACGCTCACTTGGGGATTAGGGCGTTGACTAAAATGCTTGCTTGGGTCTTTTTGATAAGAGAAAAATCTAGGAGTCATCCCTGTATGCTTCACTCAGGCCCCAAGGAAGGAAGATGGCAAATTGCCTCACCCTCCTGGTGCCCAGGGCTAGGTTAGACTTTCGCTTTTCTCTTAGGGCTCTCTTAGGGCTGCCCACTCCTGGCTAACTAACTGCCCACTCCAAGATTACTTAAACCTTCATACCAATGTTATCATTGTAACATGAAGGTCATATTATAAGAATGAGGCTGAAATTAGAATTAAATTAGTTTATTTGTGTAAAGCACTATGCATGTCCATGTAAAAGCTCTAAAGATGATATGTTTCTAAGCCATGGGGAAGTGGTGTCTTGTGAAGTTTTGGGTGAAAAGCATCTCAGCAGAAAGAAAAACTAGGGCATTTTCTTACCTGTTTACCAATAATGTTCCTTTCCCCCTTCTTTCCTTAACTTTTTTTTGGTGCTTTCTGTAGGAATAAATTCTCCATTTAATTTTTACAGAAAGTCAGGAGATAATTCTTAGTCCCTTTTTACAAATGAGAGAATTGAGGCTTAGAGAAATTAAGTGACATGCCCAGATGGTGTACCTGGGTTTCTGACTCAGGTGTTCTGAATTCTTTATCTGAACTTTGTATGGGACATGATTTGCAGGCCTAACTGCAATTAAGGTTACAAGGCTATTCTTAACATGTGTGGCATGGTTAGTGGCTCATTTTGTTCTTGGGTATACTAGAGAATAGCATGATCAAATTTGTGTTTTAGGAAGATAACAGATATTAACCAAGGGAAAGTGGAAGAATTGTGAGCCACTTTATAGAGTTCAACCTTGACTAAAACCTTTGTAGTAGACCAATCTTCAGTGTTGAACAATTCCTGCTAGCTAGCTGTACTTTTCCATCTCAGTTTCCCATCAACACATTCTAGTCCTCATGTATATGAAATTTTCTTCTGTAATTTTTTAAATAATCCTTTGTTTAGATTTGTTTTGTTTTCCTAATTCAGAAAGTATTTACTTCTTACTATTTGTCATCTAAGCCAGAAACCTGGATGCTATCACTATATATTGTCAATTCAATATTTGAAATATGTCTTTGAATTTCTGACTTTATGTTTTTCTAAGAAAGATACATGATGCTGTCTATCCTTGTGTATGTGTGTTAGGCTTTGCTCTTTTTATCTTGGGGATTATTTGGAATTTTCAGAATGGACCAAGATGACCCTAGTGCTTTTTTTTTTTTTTTTGGAGAGATTTTCGCTATAGGGTGCATGCGCTCGCCAGACAGACAGAGAGAGACATAGAGACAGAAAGCGAGAAATCACCCCCCCGGGGGGATGGTCACGCCGCAATCCCTTCTCCTTCATTCTCCTCTCGGGATCTTGGGCACGCACGCACACGCGCCCGGCGTGAGTTTTAAGCCACCGGGTCCGGGACATGAACCGCGGTCAACTACGTGGGAGTCCAGCGACATAGCCATTACGCTAACTGCTGGTTCCCAAATGAGTACATTTTTGCCTGATAAAGTCAGAGTGGGAGGACATCTGAAACACAGGTAATAGTAAATACAAAAGCATTGGGAACCAGCAGTTAGCGTAATGGCTATGTCGCTGGACTCCCACGTAGTTGACCGCGGTTCATGTCCCGGACCCGGTGGCTTAAAACTCACGCCGGGCGCGTGTGCGTGCGTGCCCAAGATCCCGAGAGAAGAATGGAGGAGAAGGGATTGCGGCGTGACCATCCCCCCGGGGGGGTGATTTCTCGCTTTCTGTCTCTATGTCTCTCTCTGTCTGTCTGGCGAGCGCACGCGCCCTACAGTGAAAATCTCTCCAAAAAAAAAAAAAAGTACTAATTTGAAGTTATAGTTTTTTTTCCTTAAAGAATTATCCTGTTTAACTTTGTTTATTTACTTATATTTATTTTTAATTTGACCAGAGAGGGGTAGAAAGCAAGCCACTAGGTCTGGGTCTTGAACTGTAGTGGTCATGTGGGAGTCCAGCATCCTTAGCCCTTAGCCTCCATGCTACCTGCCAGCCCTGATTTTTTTTTAAGAGATGTTTGCTGTAGGGAGCATGTACTGGCAAGAGAGAGAGAGAGAGAGAGACAGATAATGAGAAATCACCTCCCAGGGTGGATGGCCATCCTACAGTCCCTTCTCCATTCCCCTCGGGATTTTGGGCATGTATGCATCCACACCCGGTGTGAGTTTTAAGTCTCCAGGTCTGGGACTTGAACTGTAGTTGACTACATGGGAGTCCAGCTACATAACCATTATGCCATATGCTGGTCCCTGAAGTTATAGTTTATATCTCTTGTGTAGGAAATCTTCCTTGTGCTCTTCTTTTCAACTTCCTGTTCCTATGTATTGTTTGTTTTGTCTTGACCATAGGTTTATAATCATGATATACTTTTGTGCTTAAGTAAAACCAGTCTCTCCTGCCAAACTGTGACCCTTTGATGGTAGAGAAAGTGTAATGAGTACGTTTTGTTCATTTAATACAGTTGTTAAACAAACTATGCATTCACCTAAATATTATCTGTGAACTTATATTTTATAATTTTGCCTAAACTATCTAGGTCTAACTTATTTTTCCATTCTCAATATCTTGTGAACAGCTGTAGATTCACTGGAGAAGGCATTGTAGTATAGCAGGAATAGCATGGACTTTATCAGACCTCAATAATAGCTTCCTCCTTTATTGGTAGAGTGATTTGGGTAGCTTACTTAATCTTTTTGTGACGTAAAATATCTATTAAGTGCTTAATAAATATTTCCTTGCTTTCTTTTCCTTTCAGCAAGCATTTTTTAAAAAATACATAAATAAAATTTACAATAGACATTGGAAACATGTGCCTGAATTTACAAGAGATGTGTAGGCAGGAGACAGATTTGGGGATTATAAGCATATAGGGTAGAGTTAAAAACATTAAAGGGGTTGAAATTATCCATTGTGAAGTAGAGAGAAAAGGAGGACTGAGGATAGAACATTGAGAGAAGCCAACATTTGAGGGTCAGAGGAAGGGATAGTGCCCTAGGAAAAACTGTTGGGAGATCCCATGCTTAAATACTTCAGTAATTCCTACCCTTTCAGATTCTCTTTCTAGACTCCTGGTGATAGCAAGGAAGGCAAATAAGATAAGAATCAGGGGCTGGGAACAGCAGATAGCATAGTGGTTATGTCACTGGACTCTCACTCCAGACCCAGTGGCTTGAAACTCATGCCAGGTGTGTGTGCATGTGTGCCCAAGATCCTAGGAAGAGAATGGAGGAGAAGGGATTGCTTATGGCCATCTCCCCCACCCCCCAAAAAGGAGAATGGTACATTAGAGCAAACTGTACTCTAGAATGAGGCAAATTTAGTTTTAAGTACCTTGGAATTTATAATTTGGTTTAAATATTTAGAAACTTTATTTAAACTTCTAACTTTTAAGTTTATTTGTATCAAAATCAAAGAAAAATAATAGATAAATGTACTTTGTGTAATTTTGTGTAAAGACTTTCGCTCTCACTGTCTTTGTCTCTCTCCCTCCCTGATGAGCACACATGCTATAAGGTAAAAACCTATTAAAAAAAATGAAAAAGAATTGAAGGGTCCAGCAGATGATGTAGTGGTTAAGGCACTGGACTCCCACATAGCTGACCACAGTTTGAGTCTTGGACCCAGCAGCTTGAAACTCATGCTGAGCACTTGTGTGTGCATGCCCAAAATCTCAAGAGGAGAGTGGAGGAGAAGCAATTGTGGTGTGACCATTCCCCCTGGGAGAGTGACTTCTGACTTTCTTTCTGTCTTTCTCTCCGGAAAGCACACATACCCTAATAGCAAAAATCTCTCAGAAAAGGAAAAAAAGATAAGAGTTGAAAGTATCCAAAAATGTTTGGTAATTTGGGGTTCACTAGTAAGTTTAGTGAGTATAGTCTTTTCGAGAGGTATGCAGATAGCAGTGGCATTGAAGCTCAACATGAATTGGTTTTAAAATTTATTATCCTTTTGATAATAAAGAAATGAAAGCTACTATTTGTTGAATGCAAATTTAATGCCAGACACGATGCTAAGCAGTTTCATTTATATTAAAGTAAGTAACCCTGTGAAGATGGTAGCATTGTCTCCATTTTCAGGTGAAGAAGTGAGGATTTGGAGAGATTATATAATTTTTGGAGTTACATAACTTGTAACAACAGTACGCATTGCTATATTTGAATCCAGTTATGTGAGACTCTGGGAAACTCTAGCTCTTAACCACTTCCATATTCTGTTCATAGTAGTCTGTATATATGCTATCATGGTATGACTTTGGTATTTAATGTTTTTCCTCTTTTGAATATTTAAATTATATATAATACATTAAAGAATTCTGTTGTATCTTAATTCTTTCATGTAGAGATTCACCAGTTAGTTTCTTTCAGATATTATGCGCATACAAAGGTGGTGGGATTTTTAGAGCCTCAGTAGTTTGAAATTAAGGACTCTTGACCTATTTGCTGTTTGGTTTTGTTTTAACATTTTTAAACTACTCGAGACTTCAGTATCTTTTTCTTGTGCCAGCTAATTGCTGAACACTGTTTTTGTTTTGTTTTGGTTTGGGTTCAAATTAACATTTTAAGTGTGAGTGATTTTTATAAGGACTATTACAAATTATGAAATGTACAGATTAATAAAAATAGATCTGGACCTAAAAAAGGTTAGGAATCACCTAGTTTAATAGTGCTCTCATTTCCAGAGGTGGGGATCAGAATAGTTGAGAACAAAAATCTAGTTCGATCTCATACTTCTGATTCTTGTGTAATTTGAAGTGAGAGTGGAAAATACAGATTCTTATCAATGTCTGATGTACAGATGTTTCCTCTTATTTCATACACACACACACACATACACACATACACATATAATAAACTCATGTACTGCCCTCTAAATAGTTTTAAAACTTTTCCACTGCTATTAAAGACTATATATTAAGGAAAATTTGTTAAGATTACATAATAAAGGAAGAATTTTCACCTTTTTAAAAAAGTTTATTTCTTCCAGAAGTGAGAGAGACAGAGAAATAGGCATCCATGGTAGGGTCTTCACACCACAATCTACCCTTAGTCTCAGCTAGCCTTGGATCGTGGACATTACAGATATACCTGGCACGTTCAGGGAGGTCTCTGGACATGAACCCTGAATCCTTCTGTGGTGGGTCATCTTCATAGAGTTTTATGTTACCACTGTGCCACTCTCTGGCTGCATGATTTTCACCTTTTTAGTCTTTAAACTTTTTAATATAGTATTTTAAACTGTATTGAATTTGTTAATCTTTTATTTTATGGCTTTAGGGTTTCAGATCATACTTAGAAGGGCCTTTTATACTTTACAGTTATTAAAAAAAACTGTCTCCTGTGTTTTTATCTAATGCTTTTATGTTTATCTTTGAGCCATTCAGAATTAAAAAACAATATAAGATATAAAGCAAGTTTCTGAAGTAATGTTTTTCTCATTAAGCTAACCAGTTGTTTTAATACTACTCCCTGTATGTCATCTCTTCCTGTGGTGAATGACCTTCCAAACAGCACAGTATCTAGCACTTAGTAAAAACTGAATAATTTATAAGACTATTGGTAATTGTTATTGTGGTGGTGATGAAGATGATGATGATGCAGTTTTAGGGGTCAAAGGATGGGATAATCCTTATAAACAGGGTAGATGTGTGTGTTTATATCATCAGTGAGGACATAATAGAATGTAACATGGTAGAAAGAGGTTGACTGCAGAGTACAGACACAGAGGTTAACATTAAACATGAGTGCAAAAAAGGTAAGAGTGACTGATGTAAATATAGATAACTATAGATATAAAAAGTTGATAACTTTTTTTTGGAATTAGGAATTAAGGGCACTTATTAGAGGTAGTTTATTGTAAAGTATGTGAGAGCGAGACAGATTTTGTATATTTACGTTGTCTTCTTTTCTCCTTCTCTTATAGGTCACCCTTGCAATTATGGATATTTAAAAGGATCAGGCAGTGTGGAGGGGGAGTTCCCCTCCTCACTCCCCCTTGGTGCTTGACTCCAGGAATAATTTATAAACTGTGGGAATTTTTTTAATGAAGAACTTGCATTTGATATGAACTTTATAGAGCTATTTATAATTTTTTTGATTTAAGTGCCAAAAATTGTACAGAGATACATAGTTTTATACTATTGCCATGAGGATTTAAATTATAATCCTAAAAGGTCATTTATTTTCTGTAATTCTTTCTAAATAGCACCTTTGTGTCCTGGCTTTTTCACTTTTAAAAATTAGTCTCAACTCAATCTTCTGAAGCAGTAAGCAGTGTAAAGACAACTAGGATGAATTCTTCCATTCCTGACTGCACATCAAAGTGTCGATCCCTGAAGCATGCTTTAGATGTCCTTTCTGTGATAACAAAAGGGAGTGAAAACCAAATAAAGGCCTTTCTCTCCACTCATTGTTACAATGCTGCAACTATCAAGGATGCCTTTGGCAGGAATGGCCTCCATCTTGCTTCTTCCTTTTTTTTCTCCATCTTGTTTCTTCCTGTGGAAAGAAAGGAGTTTTAGATTGGCTTATTGAGAAAGGAGTGGATCCACTGGTGAAAGACAAGGAGTCGGGATGGACAGCATTACACAGAAGCATTTTTTATGGACATATTGATTGTGTTTGGTCTCTGTTGAAGGTAAGTATTTGTTTAAAACTTATTAGCCAGGCATGTTTTAAATCTTTTTTATGTACCATACTTTCTAAAAAAGATTGTTTTTATCATTTGTTTTATTCCTCTTACTATTGTAACTCATCTTTGGAGTTAAAAATCCTATGTGTCTTTTTTACTTAAACTTTTTATTATGTGAAATTTTAAACATATATCAATGCTTATAACATGTAATGAAGGGACCAGCAGTTAGCATAATGGCTAAGTCGCTGGACTCCCAGTAGTCGACCGTAGTTCGAGTCCCGGACCCGGTGGCTTAAAACTCACGCCGGGCACGGTGCATGCGTGCCCAAGATCCCGAGAGGAGAATGGAGGAGAAGGGATTGCGGCGTGGCCATCCCCTCTGGGGGGTGATTTCTTACTTTCTATCTCTCTGTCTCTGTCTGGCAAGCACACACGCCCTATAACAAAACCTCTCAAAAAAAAAAAAACAAACCATGTAATGAACACATTGGCCAATTTTATGTTATTTATATCTTCTTTGAGCTATTACCATTATTTCATTAAGTGTACAATTTATATTTATCAAATAAATAAACATAAAGTTATTTTTAATGCATATACATAGTAAAACATCCTGTTTTTGGAGCCAAGCTATCTAGGCCTACTACTTAGTATTCTTGGACAACTTACTAAATTTTTTTTTTTAAGAGGCTTTTGCTATAGGTCATGTGTTCTCACCAGAAAGAGACAGAGAGCCAGAAAGCGAGAGATCACCCCCCAGGAGGGATGGCCACGCCGCAATCTCTTCTCCATTCTCCTCTTGGGATCTTGGACATGCAAAGCTCCCAGCATGAGTTTAAGCCACCGGTTCTGGGACTCATACCGCAGTCAACTACATGGGAGTCCAGTGACAGCCATTAACGCCAACTGCTGGTCCCAAGTTACTAAATTTTTTTTTTTTTTGCTATAGGGCACGTGTGCTCTCCAGAAAGACAGAGAGACAGACAAGACAGAAAGCGAGAAATGACCCCCCAGGGGGGATGGCCACGCCACAATTCCTTCTCATTCTCTTGGGATCTTGGACATACCTGCACATGCGCCCAGCATGAGTTTAAGCCACCTAGTCCAGGACTTGAACCATGGTCGACTACATGGGAATCCAGCAACATAGCCATTATGCTAACCGCTGGTCCCCCAAGTTACTAAATCTTGAACCTCAGTTTTATCTATAAAAAGATATGCTTTCCTCATTTTTTCTTTCCAGGGTATGTCAGTGAAGAATAAACTTGTTTATTAATAGCACAGTTAATTCCTTTTATACTTAAAGCCTTTATGTATCTCTTCAGTTTTCTTATTGTAATATCTTATGGGGAAATCCAGGTTAGTAAATTATATTATCTGTCAGTTTAATTCTTACCGTTTCCCTTCTGTAAAACCTTTTCCTTTTTCCAGTTTCTGCTAGAAAATTGGATGACTTCCAATGCTACTGAGCTGAAGAGGGTCCTTGGGTTTTCTGGTATCTAGTGGTTGCTATTTCAGGTGTTAGGATTTGGGACTTTAGTTTCAAATAGTTGTAATCAGACCTTAATTTTAATCCTTTCTGTCTTTGATGCTTCATTTCCCTTTTAAAGATCTTTAATCAGGGACCAGCAGTTAGCGTGCTTGTGCACGAGCCTAGTGTGACTTTTAAGCTACCTACCAGGTCTGGGACTTGAACCATGGTCGACTATGTGGGATTCCAGCAACATAACCATTATGCGATCTGCTGGTTCCAGAAACAAATATTTTTGAGTGCCTGGATGTGTTATGCAGTAATCTAAGTGCTGTGGATATTGCAGTGAAAAAGACATAGTTCCTTTATTGTTGAAGTTTTTAGTTTAGTAGGGAGAGAGAAATCAAAAACAAATGATTAGCTGAACAGGTAGGAAAGTAATAAATGTTGATGTATTAGTTTTTTTGCACGTAGCAGGAATCAATTATGTTATTAAATTGAAAATATTAGATGAATATCAGGTACCTCAGAGGTTAAAGAATCAAGTCATAAACCAGAACAACTCAGTGTACTGTCAAATTATTAATAAGACAAAACTCAAACTAGAATAATTTTAAGCTAAACAGAATGATCTGAAATTTTGTCTACCACTCACATTCCCTCACCTCAGGATAATTATTATAAATAGCAGGACCAGTTGTCTATTAAAATTATTCCTACTTATGATATTAAAATCATGTCATCTGAGGGCAGGCCCTATAGCCTGATATTTAACCACATGTAAGAGTTAATTGACAGAGAATTAACTGTCTAGTAGTTATAGTTGGTCATGCGTGATTGTCAAGCTTTGAGACACAAAAAAATAGGCATGCAGAACATGCCAGAAACAAGATTTTTTAAAAAAAATGTTTATTTATTTCTTCCATGAGTGAGAAAGACAGATATCAAGGTCCCAATATTGTTACCTGACTGTAGCCTTAGCTAGCCACAGATCTTGTGCAGGGTCATTCTTGGTATACTTAGGGAGGTCTTTGGATGCAAACCTAGAACCCTCTCTTGTGGGTTCTCACAAAATGTTGCATTTTACCACTGTGTCACCATCTAGCCTTAAGAATTGATCTTTAAATAAGTAGAATAGACTATACACTAGTTCTATAACCTTTAGTGTTTAATATGGACATATTAGAAAGGGTTATACTCCACTAGGGACCTCTAATGAAAAACAAATGCCCCTACAACCTTTATGCAGTTGGGGCTACTTAGGATAGTTAGTGTAAAATGTCTGTAGTCTTAATAGGGTCCAGTTGATATAGATAAAATTCAGGGCAAATTTATAAAACTGTTTAGATAATTTCTTCAGTCATCTTAAGTTTCTAAATTCTCATTTGTCAGATTCATAGCTTCAGGCTAAGCTGCCATGGTTCACCTGGTGGGGCAGTGCTCTGCCATACTGCAGCCATATGGGATGAATGGTCCAGGGTTTAGATCCCAGGTCAGCATGAACCCCGGGTATACAACCATGGGATCATGGGTGCAGCCATGATCCTGGCTAGTTGGAAGGCTGGTGGAGGATCATAGTGTTGTGGTACCTTGTTGGTGATACTTCTTCCTCTTCACATGAAAGAAAGAAACTTAAAAAATAATTATGTATTGGAACATTCTGCCTCACAATCTACCTTTACACTAATAATGGTGAGCTAAGGATTTATTAGATTAACATTTTTGAAAATACTGAGCAATATAATCTATATATATATATATATATAAAAGTGAGAAATTACCCCCCGGGGGAATGGCCACGTCGCAGTCCCTTCTCCTCCATTCTCCTCTTGGGATCTTGGGCACATACGCACATGTGGCTGGCATGAGTTTAAGCCACCAGGTCCAGGACTTGAACCGTGGCCAACTACGTTGAAGTTCAGTGACATAACCATTACTCCATCTGCTGGTCCCTAATTCTGGTTAATTGATAGCCTTAGTGAAGTATAGGTATTATAACCATCTGGAACATAATGAAGTTAGAGAAGGTTTATTTACTCATTTAACCATAGGGAACATGTACTTGCTGCAGAGAAAAAGAGAAAGAGAAGGAAAATGAGAAATCACCCTCTGGGGGAACAGCTATGAAACAATACTTTCTTCATTATCCTCCTGGGATTTTGGACATGCACACACATGCACCAGGCACAATTTTCAAGCCACCAGGTCCAGAATTCAAACTGTGGTCAACTGTGTGGTAATCCAGTGCCTTAACTACCACAGCACCTACTGGCCCTTTGGTTTTAGTATTTTAGGAATCCATTGTTATGCAGTAAGAGGAGAGCCTCCTTAAATAAACCAAATAGTATAATATATGTCACTGTTAGAGTTTAAAATTTTCGTGGTTCATTTGAGCCCATAACTACCTAGGTAGTAACCTGTTTGTGTATAAGTAGTGATTATTGTGCCAGTTAAAATAGATTAAGTTATGGATTGCCCTGCTCCTGCAACTTGAAAAACACAGTAGGCCCGTGTGTTTGTATGCATGCACACACTTGTGCATGTGTACACCAAATCCCAACAGAAGGAGAAACGGAGGAAAAGGGATTGTGGTATGACCATGCCTCATTGTGGGGTGCTCGCTCCCTTTCTCTCTTTCTCTCTTGTATTTCTTAGGTGAGTGCACACGCCTTCTGGTGATTAAAAAGGTAGATAAGTCTTTATAAACTGTCAGCAAACATTAAATGTTATTCAAAAGGGAACATGTTTTAAATTTAAAAAGCTGTAATGAAGGAATAATAATTTGAATTGAACAGTGCTCTCTGTCCTCAAACCCCCCCCCTCCTTTATGTGCTTAAAAAGACAGAAAAATATGTTGGTAGGGATAGGGTATTACTTAACTAAATGAGGCAGGATATTCTATTTCATGTTTGAATTTAAATTGTGGAGATAAAAAAAAGATTGGTTTAAATTCCTCCTTAAAACACATACATACATACATACACACACACATACACACACACACACACAGACACACACATACACATGCTTTGATTTTTTTAGGTAGAATGTAACTATATGTGGTTTACAAGAGCCCACAATTAAACAATGCTATAAAAATTTAAGAAAGACAAGAAAATATAGGTATCACCATAAATGTATATATATTACCAAGTTAGAAATAAAATAGTGTAATTAGTTAATAATAAATCATTAGTAAATCATGTGTCATATAGCTTTTTGATCAAGGATAGACCACACGGAGGTGGTTTCATAGGTTACAGGGGTGCTGAAAAATTCCTGTTGTCTAGTAGTGTGGCCGCTGTTGTGAGGTCGTAGTACAGTGTCTTACTCGTGTCATTGGTGATGCTGATGCGAACAAAACTGCCAGTTATACAGAAGTATAGCGCATAAAAATTATGTACTGTACATCATACTTGATAATAATATAAACAACTCTACTGGTTCATGTATTTAGTATACATTTCATTGTTATTTAAGAGGGTTCCATTCCTATTTATATAAAAAAAAAGTTTACTTTAAAAGTTTGCCGTTGTTATATTGGAGCAACCTCATATGTCTTGGCCCTAGATTAACGTGCCTCCTGATTGCATCATTGTCACTTGTACTTGATTTAATTTTGTATTGTTTTGCTTATTATGGCTTTTTCAATGGGAGATGTGAGGGTATAGGACAATGATGATATTGACCCTGCCTAGGCTAGTGTTATTTGTTTTTGTTTTTTAACAAAAAAGTTTAAAAGTAAAAATAAAAACAAAACTTAAAATTTAAAAATAAAGAAAAACTTATGGAATAATGATATAAAGAAAAAAAATTGTTCCAGCTGTACAATGTGTTATAAACTGTTATGATAAAATAATCAAAAAATTTTAAAAGATTAAAAGTTTATGAAGTTTAAAAGTTACAGTAATCTGAGGTTAGTTTATTATTAATAACAGACTTAAGAAAATAAATTAAGTGTAGCCTAACTGTATGGTGTTTATGAAGTCTACAGTACTGTATAGGAAGGGCCTAGACCTTCCCATTCTCTCACCACTCACCCAGAGCAAATTCCAGTCCTTAAGATTCTATTCCTGGTATATGCGTTATATATCTGCACCATTTTTATCTTTTATATTGTATTTTTACTGTATATATATAAATATATATATATATATTTTTTTTTAAGTTTTTTTTCTTTTTCCATAGTTCATGTATGCTTGCCAGAGACAGAGAGAGAAAGTGAAAATCATTCCCCAGGGTGATGACCATGCTGCAATCTGTTTTCCATTTCCCTCCAGATTTTGGGTACCCATGCACAGGTGCCCAGCGTGATTTTCAAGCTGCCAGGTCCAGGACTCAAACCATGTTCAGCCATGTGGGATCTAGCATCTTAATCACCATGGCACATGTTGGCCTTACTGTACCTTTTCTGTGTTAAGATCTGTTTAGATACATGAATACTTATTATTGTGTTACAGTTGGCTCTAATATTCAGTGTTAATATACTGTACAGGTTTATAGCCTGGGAACAATAGACTGGTGTGTAGTAGGCTATACCATCTAAGTTTGTATAAGTACACTCTGATATTGCACATGGATGAAATCACTTAATACATATTCCTGTTGTAAGCAATGCAGTTCAAGGCAAAAAGGGATAGGGCATAAATGATCACATTATAGAGAACAAATTCTAATATTAATACAGATGGTCCCTAACTTATATTTGACTTAATGATTTTTTTTCTTTATGATGGATTTATTAGGACATAACCCCATTAGAAGTCTAGGAGTATTTGTACTTAAGATTTTTCAGTTTTACCCTGGGTTTATGAGGGTATTAACCTATTTGACTTACGATGATTGTTGTAAATCAAGGGGTGCCTATACTGTGCTGCCATTGGAAGGTCTCCAGCCCTTTACCCTTTAACATCAGACATGGAGCATGCTTTTTAATACAAAAAGTGTATGTGTTTGTGTGCATGTGCATATCTCTGCAGTTAATAGATCCAATGCTGTAGTCTTCTAGGCAGTCAGATTTTCCTTTCCATGGAAAACTTCCACATCAAGTTCATTTTTATTAAAAATGTTACTTGTTTTATTTCTCCCTGTTTTTCTGGTCCTTATTCCTTTAAGGATTGGATATGTGATTTCTCTTAGTTGTCTCCCTTGTGTGAAAGAAGAAGTTGGGTATGTGAAAAATAATTGTTATTAAATGCTTATTTTTCTTTTTTCAGTCATTTATGATCTTAATTCATCTGGGTTTTTAATATATTGGGTTGTTGGAAAAGTCATGACTTTTTTCCTTTTTTTAAGGCAAAAATGCATCATGACTTTTCTGACAATCTGATATTATAATGGGAAATTACTTATTTTAGGTAAATTGATAAAAATGCCCTTTTTCTTCTTTTATTTTTAGCATGGTGTTAGTCTGTATATTCAAGATAAGGAAGGCTTATCAGCTTTGGATCTTGTAATGAAGGATAGACCAACTCATGTAATATTCAAAAATACTGGTAAGAAAAATTCCAGAAATGTATTCTACCAAGATAGAACTGAGAAAATTGAAATTAAATTTATTCCTATTAAGAAGCAGGGAATGTTTATCTGTGTGTGGATATCTGCAAAGAACTTTTACTTTGGCATGTGTTATTTGGTATTTTTGGTTTTTATATTCAGAATACTTTGTTTTATATTTTTCAATTTTAACCCATATTCATGCCTATAAAAGTAAAATACAACTTAAAATGGCAAGGCAGTTAGAATTGTTGCTACTCTCATGTAATTAATATATGTACAAAAAGTAACATCAGGGAACCAGCAGTTAGCATAATGGCTATGTCGCTGGACTCTCACGTAGTCGACCGTGGTTCGTGTCCCGGACTCGGTGGCTTAAAACTCACGCCGGGCGCGTGTGCGTGCGTGCCCAAGATCCCGAGAGGAGAATGGAGGAGAAGGGATTGCGGTGTGACCATCCCCCCTGGGGGTGATTTCTCGCTTTCTGTCTCTATGTCTCTTTCTGTCTGTCTGGCGAGCGCACGTGCCCTTCAGTGAAAATCTCTCTCAAAAAAAAAAAAAAAGTAACATCAGTATTTGACATGTGTTATTTGGTATTTTTGGTTTTTATATTCAGAATACTTTGTTTTATATTTTTCAATTTTAACCCATATTCATGCCTATAAAAGTAAAATACAACTTAAAATGGCAAGGCAGTTAGAATTGTTGCTACTCTCATGTAATTAATATATGTACAAAAAGTAACATCAGGGAACCAGCAGTTAGCATAATGGCTATGTCGCTGGACTCTCACGTAGTCGACCGTGGTTCGTGTCCCGGACTCGGTGGCTTAAAACTCACGCCGGGCGCGTGTGCGTGCGTGCCCAAGATCCCGAGAGGAGAATGGAGGAGAAGGGATTGCGGTGTGACCATCCCCCCTGGGGGTGATTTCTCGCTTTCTGTCTCTATGTCTCTTTCTGTCTGTCTGGCGAGCGCACGTGCCCTTCAGTGAAAATCTCTCTCAAAAAAAAAAAAAAGTAACATCAGTATTTGAGGTAGAGAAAAAAAGAAATAGAAGTGATAGTTCTACCCACGCATTCCGATTTTGCTTATCCCTTCAATTGTTTGCCCTTTGAGTTTGGTAGTAGGAACTGACAGAAAAGGGGAAGAGATTTAAATGGGGCACTGTGTAGTTTGCATTTTATTAGTGAGCAAGCTAAGTAAGGATACATTCTTTATTTTTATTTCTATCACAAACACTATAGAAAGTAAGTAACAGTAATAATCCCATTGTAGGACTTTATCAGCCTTCCAAAATAAAAATGAAGTTTTGTATCATAAAGTTAGCTATATTTAGTTTTATCCTAGTTTTATGGGGTATTACCCTCATCACAAGTATGATTTTGTGTCTATCAAGAGCAAACTATTGAAAGTTAATGTTTCTAAAGAAACAGTAATACTATTTTTGCTTCATTTAGAAATTTTATATATAAAGATTAATAATACCTTATGTTTAAAATAACTATTATTTTCATGGACTCTGGATATGGCTATTGGTGTTTTACTCTTCTAGAAGTCAAACTTTAACTGCTAAAGAAACAAGAAACAATGTTTGCTTACATTGAGACAAACTTGTATTATTTGTATTTTCCCATTTCTTTTCCTAAAATTATATATCATATTAATAGATTTATAATTTTATAAAGCATATTGGTATCTTTCTAATTATCAAAGTTAAATCCTGTAATCATGTTTTATGTGAAATAGTGGAGTATATCTAGAATTGAACTAAACTGATTGTTGTTTTAAAATATGCAAGAATATAAAACCTGTCTTTATTTTAGATCCTACAGATGTCTACACATGGGGCGATAATACAAATTTTACCCTGGGTCATGGAAGCCAGAATAGCAAATATCATCCAGAGTTGGTGGATCTGTTCTCCAGGAGTGGGGTTTATATCAAGCAGGTATTTTGAAATCCAATCTGCATGTTTTGAGAAATTAAAAAAATTCAATATTTTAAAATAAAAATTAAAAAGAATTTTTTAATTCAAAAGAAATTAAAAAGAATAAATCATTTTTATCATTAAAATAATAGCTTTTTATTTGTGTTATGTTTATTGAGGGTATAATAGTACATTTTAATGAAGTGCATCAATAGAACTTTGCTAATCCTATTTTTGGAATTATCACCCTTACTGATATTTAGACTGTAAAATACTCTAAAAATAATGAGATTTTTATACAGATAATGCTAGAAATAAAAAAAAATTCTACAGATACCAATTTTATTTTAAAATTTTAAAATTCTATTTTATTTTAACAAAGTTGGAATTTTCCAAGTTCTTTCTCAAGTGAATTTGTTGTTGAAGCTCATTGTTATTTTGGGGAAGTGAACCTGAGTTCTTAAATGTTCAGTGATTGTAAAAATCTTAATTGACAAAATTGTGAAGGTTTGACCTTGGGTGTTGTATCCTTATGCTGAATCCTACCTTCTATTTCCATAGATTCCACTGTTGATACTCTCTCTGTAACATTGTGTGTACATGTGTATATGTGTGTATAGTTAATATCTCTAGCTTCAGCCTTTCTCTTTTTTCCTCTTTTTTTTTTTTTTTTGAGAGATTTTTGGTATAGGGTATGTGTCCTTGCCAGAGCGACAGAGAAACAGAAAGCGAGAAATCATTCCCTAACTGGGATGGCAGTGCCGCAATCCCTTCTCCATTCTCCTTCTGGGATTTGGTCATGAATGCATGCGAGGCTGGTATGAGTTTCAAGCTGCTGGGTTGGGAACTTGAACCTCAGTTAGCCATGTATGAGTTCAGTAATGTAACCATTATGCCATCTGCTGGTCCCCGGCCTTTCTCTTCATTTGTATTCTGGACATTCTCTTAAGTTAAATAGAATATGTCTGAAGTTTTTATGGTTTTAAGAATTATTTATTTATTATAATTTTTTTTGTCTTGACCAGAGAGAGACAGAGAGAGAGAGGGAAAGTGAGACAGCAAGCTGCCAGGTATAGATTTGAGCCATGGTCAACCATGTGGGAGTCCAGTGCCTTAACTACCATGCTACCGGTCGGTCACTGTCTGAAGTATTATTTTTGCCACACTTAAATGTTTTCCACTTAATTTTTAAAGGCATTAATCTCAATTCCTTTTCTTTCCTTTTTTTTTTTAGGGAGATTTTTGCTATAGAGTGCATGTGCTCACCAGAGAGACACAGAGAGACAGAAAATGAGAAATCACTCCTCCAAGGGGGATGGCCATTTTCCATCCTTTTCTTGGGATTTTGGGAATGCAGACGCACACATCTGGCATGAGTTTAAAGCCACCAGGTCTGGGACTTGAATTGCAGTTGACTATGTGGGACTCTAGTGATGTAACCCTTAAGCCATCTTCTGGTCCCATAAATCTCACTTTCTAAATCCTGAAAACTATATCTCAGAACATGTCTGTCATTATCTCAGTTCCATGAATCTAGCTGCCATGTCATTTTAAAACTCTTTCTTAGACAGTGACAGTAATGTCCTAACTTGACTCATTGGCTTAATTCATTTCCAACTCCTAGTAATGATCTTCTCTAGAATTATTATCATCGTGACAGACAAAGCTAATTATGTCTTTATCTGCTAATCCACTTTTGGGTAAAATCCAAACTTTAGGGCTTAGCATGTAAGCCAGTCTTCCTAAATGACCATTTTAGGTCACATTTCTCTCAACTTCTTAGTTGTCTTCTTTCTGTATTTTGAAGTTGATAAAGATTCTTTTGACCCAGAATATGGACATGGAACTTTTTTATTAATATAGTACTGGCTCTTCTCACCTTTCACTGAATGTTCGCAATCACATCCATATCCACACGAACCTCATGTTTTGAGATTAAACTCTCTGGCAGTTTTTAGAGTTATTCTTTTAGTCCCTGTATTTGACTTAGGACAGTTCTGGTTTGCACTTTTATTTTGGGGGGAGGGGTGTAATTGTTAATATTCCCACCTTTTATTCTCAAAAGTATTTGGATATAAATTATATGGCCACCATATTTTAGGATTTGTAGAACACTGTGTTTTAAACTGAAAGTCTTGACCTAATGGATCCCAACCAGGAACTGTAAAGGAGATATAGAACAGCTAAATTGTAGACAACATTAAGTTTTGACTGGTCAGGAACAGGAGCCCATATTAGATGAAGTGATAGAGAAGTAGTGAGTGTGGAATGGTGTCATGAAAGTTAGGATTTTGGGCGGCCATCTACATAGATCTGGAAGGAACTTAGATTAATGAAAGGACTTGGGATAAGAAGGAATCATAAGCATGGTGCCTGAGTCTTTAGTGAATTTGAGGGAGATTAGCAAGATGTTGAACAAATAGAGCAAGGGTGGCACAAATGTGTTCTACTCCTACCTTGTGCAGAGCTTTCATGATATTGCTAATCAAATTTTTATTTTACTTTATTTTTAAAAAATTGTTCTTAAACTGGCAATCCACCTATTAGCAACCACTAATGATCGATCAGAGTTGGGGCACAAGAATGATAATTGTTTTTTATTTTTCCTGAGTTAGTACATGGTAAATTCAGATTTCATGGGCTGTTTAAGGAGCAGCGATTTTGTTGTTGTTGTTGTTGTTATAGGGTGAATTTGCTTTCCCCAGATGGGGGGTGTAAGAAATCACCCAGGGAGGATGACCACACTACAATCCCTTCTCTGTTCTCCTCTCTGGATTTGGGCATGCATACACACACACCTGGCATGATTTTCAAGGACTCAAACCGCAAATACAGCTATGTGGGATCCAGCACCTCCTCCTTGCCACCTGTGGCCCAGGGAGCAGCAATTTTTACACATGAATGAAGGAATAATGGTAGCATTAGGAAATCAGATCTGCTGTACCTTCCAATTCTGAGATATGAGGGTTATTCAGAAACTTCATAAAAATGAGTGTTACGAAAAAACTATGTGTGGATTTCAATTTTTTTCCCCAGTAAAATAAAGTCATACTTTAACTTAACTTTGCATGAACTTTTGAAGTCTCCTTTTATGTGTAGTATGGAAGAAATGAGCATATTTCACCTGACAGGTTATGAGTGAAATGGCACTCAAAGAGAAAGCCACATTTCAGTTAAAAGTCAAGGAAATGGGAGTATTTTGTAAGCAATTGCCCATTTTATGAAGGAATAAGGTTGAAGCAAGAACTGGAGATAGGTTTGAGATGAGGAAAAGCAATATAAAGTTCAGTTAAGGAAGAGGAAGCATGGATGGAAATATTGACTAAGCATCAATTATACAGAGAGCCCCAATCGTCACTAAAAAGGGGCTGATTATGTAATGTATATCACCAGATGAATGAACTACAATGGGACACAGATTTTTAATACTAGCATTATATATTCTAAAAAAATTAAGATGGAAAGCTTTGCTCAGTTGTCTTATTTAAAAATTCAGAGATTTTAAAGTTGGAGAACTTGGGGCAGCAGATAGTGTGGTGGTTACATTGTTGGACTCCCACATGGCTGACTGTGGTTCAGTTTCTGGACCCAGTGGCTTGAAAATCACCCAGGTGTGTGGGTGTGTGTGCTCAAGAGTCCAGGAGGAGAGTAGGGGAGAAGGGATTTTGGCGTGGCTATTACCCCTGGAGGGTTTTTCTCATTTTCTCTCTCACCGTCTCTGTCTCTCTCTCCATTGAGCACATGTTCCCTAAGGCCAAAACCTCTTTAAAACAAAAAAAAAATGTTGAAGGACTTATTCTTCTGGTATCACTTATTGTTAAATAGTCATCACACATTGTAGAATGGCATTCTATGGGAACCAGCAGTTAGCGTAATGGCTATGTCGCTGGACTCCCACGTAGTCGACCGTGGTTCGCGTCCCGGACCCAGTGGCTTAAAACTCACGCCGGGCGCGTGTGCATATGTGCCCAAGATCCCGAGAGGAGAATGGAGGAGAAGGGATTGCGGCGTGACCATCCCCCCTGGGGGGTGATTTCTCGCTTTCTGTCTCTATGTCTCTCTCTGTCTGTCTTGCGAGCGCACGTGCCCTATAGCGAAAAAACCTCTCCAAAAAAAAAAAAAAAAGAATGGCATTCTAATATAGAGTATGAAATAGAACAAAACATATTACTTCTAATTTTATAAAAATAAATTTTTTCTCTTAGAAATTCTAACTTTAAAATACAACTTTGGGTTTTATTTTTAGACTTTCTTTTTAGACTTTTCAGATATTTGCAGTATAGCTACATGAGATAATGATCTTTGTACTACATTTTTTTTTGATAGGCACATTGTGTTTACAGAACTCTCTTTATCCTATTTAAGGATATGGGTAAATATTTAGAGTTTGTAGTTCAGCTTATGATTTTCCTATTTTCCAAAGAACTTTGGCTTTTTGAAAAATGATTCTAGGAGTTCTTTATAGCTTGCTATCTTTTTATATACTAAGTTAGAAATATCTATAGATGACATGACAATATAAGTACAAATAATTTTTAAATATATAAATGATTTAAAAATAATATTTAGGTAAAGTGAATACTATTAATATTAGCTACAGTGAAACTTGCAAAATGTGGCCTAGTGGTTAGGTATATAAATAAAGGCATATTTGAAATTATTTTTGGTTTCCTCCTACTGCCTTCTGCTGATGTGGTTCAACCATTTCAGTATCCTTGTCTTCCGAGTATGTGAATACATGTTAGTATGTGTTTCAGGGGAATATGTGTTAGTATGTCTGTCAGAGGTTAGAGAGGATGTTGAGAATGAGGTGTAGATAAGGATAAAGGAAGTGGGAAAGAGAGAAATACTTCAAACCAAATATGAAATTATTTAAAGCCATACGATAGTATTAAAGATGTGTTGGATATAAATAACAAATTGATTTTGAAGTGCACTCTTTCTACTATTTTTTTAAAGAATTATTCATTTAATGTTATTTATTCATTCATTTATTTTAATTTGACTGGAAAGAGATACACAGAGAGAGAGAGAGAAAGAGGGAGGGATAGTGAGAAAGCAAACCACCAGGTCTGGGACTAGAACCATGGTCAGCCATGTGAGAGTGTCCAGCACCTTAACCACCATACCACCTGCTGGTCCCCATCTTTCTACTATTTTTATTAATAACATGTTGCTATTTGGTAATCTTTATGCTTCAGATTTACACTATTCTTGCTATTTGATATTTTATGAAATTAGAAAACATTAGTTTTTGTAACCAAAGATTTACAATATATAATTTTCTTTGTTTCATCTCTTTCGTAGGTAACACATGCTTAATTACGTTATTTATGATTTTCCTATGTCAGTGTTTTTAGACACAATTTTAAAATAAAGGATATTTATTTTTATTTTGATTAAGGAAAACTCTAAATATATCCAAAGTAGAGAGAATAGTATAACACATCCCCATATCCATCATTCAGTTTAAACAGCAGTATGCTATTTCTTTTTTTATAAAATCAAGGATTTTTTTATTTTGAAAAGTTTTATAATATTTTAATTTGACTGGAAAGAGATACACAGAGAGAGAGAGAGAAAGAGGGAGGGATAGTGAGAAAGCAAACCACCAGGTCTGGGACTAGAACCATGGTCAGCCATGTGAGAGTGTCCAGCACCTTAACCACCATACCACCTGCTGGTCCCCATCTTTCTACTATTTTTATTAATAACATGTTGCTATTTGGTAATCTTTATGCTTCAGATTTACACTATTCTTGCTATTTGATATTTTATGAAATTAGAAAACATTAGTTTTTGTAACCAAAGATTTACAATATATAATTTTCTTTGTTTCATCTCTTTCGTAGGTAACACATGCTTAATTACGTTATTTATGATTTTCCTATGTCAGTGTTTTTAGACACAATTTTAAAATAAAGGATATTTATTTTTATTTTGATTAAGGAAAACTCTAAATATATCCAAAGTAGAGAGAATAGTATAACACATCCCCATATCCATCATTCAGTTTAAACAGCAGTATGCTATTTCTTTTTTTATAAAATCAAGGATTTTTTTATTTTGAAAAGTTTTATAATATTCTCTTATTTTCCTTAGGTCGTGCTTTGTAAATTTCACTCCGTGTTTCTGTCCCAGAAAGGGCAGGTTTATACCTGTGGTCATGGTCCTGGAGGGCGTTTAGGCCATGGAGATGAACAGACATGCTTGGTAATTGAAATGTCATTACATTACACAGTTTATATAATCTAATAACACTTCGATAAACTAGAAGCTAATTAACTATGTATATTTTGTATCAAGTATAAGAAAATTACATACCTATTAATAATAGATTATGAAATGGATTTTTTTTTTCCTTGTGTGTCTTGTGCAAATTAAGGATTTAGATACAATGCAAAACTATCAAGGTAAAGTAATATTTTGCTTACTGCAGATATTGAGTAAGGAAAGTATATAACTAAGATTTAAAATATTTCCAGGGTTGAAATAAAAAAAAAGGCAGACTAATTACAAAACCCTTTTCCTGAAACACTCAGGGTTTTATTTGTTTCTAAGTTCTCATTAAACTATTATCTGAAAAGTGACCCAATGCTTTTATCGTATAATCACAAAGCTGGTTTTATTATGCTGAATGTTTAGTCATAATTGGGAGAAACTTAGTTCATTACAAATCAGGAATCAGCTCACTAGATTTTTTTTAAAGATTTTATTTTATGTTTTGGAGGAGACTATTGGTATGTCTCTCTATTAAAGGGTGCTTGAAAAACGATAATAGCTTTCATTTTTTTGAAGACTTAGTGTGTTCTAGGCATTTTTTTTTCCTTTTCATATATTATCATAGCCAACTTAAGCCTTACAACAACTCATTGAAGTACAGGTGTTTTTGTATTTACTTCATGTATGATAATGATACTAAAGTACCAGTCATTTACTGATTGCTTACTCTGTTTTAATAAGATACAGATAAATTTGATATGAAATAGCTAGTAAGTGACAGAAGTAAGATTTGAATCCTGGTCAGATGACTGTAAAGGAATAAGATTATATATGTCTGGCTACTCACTGAAGGGAAGCATTGACTTCTATACTTTACTAACTTCAGTATACTAGCAAATACTTTGAAGAACTCTCTTTATTCATATCAAACAAATTTGCACTTAGTATATGGTAGTCTCAATTATTTGAGTTGAATTTTATTTTTGAGAGAGATTTTTTGCTATAGGGTACATGCACTCACCAGAGAGACAGAGACAGAGAGACAGAAAATGAGAAATCACCCCCCAGGGGGATGTAGACACCTTATCCATTCTACTCTTGGGATTTTGAGCACACATGCATGCACAGATGCTTGGCATGAGTTTTCAGCCGCCAGGTCCGGGACTCAAACCACAGTCAACTATGTGGGAGTCCAGTGATGGAACTATTTTGCCATCTGCTGATCCCAGAGTTGAATTATTTTATAAAATGTGTAACTAAGCTTATGTATTTTGCTCATAAGCCAGTGACCATATCTTTTTCAACTCATCTGCCTTTTGCTGAAATGAGATGTAAAATTTACTTGTGGTAGATATAGCCACATAACAGTTATGCTATTTTGGATGTAGTCTCCTTAGATCCTATTTGTGTTTTTATGTAAACAGTTAATAGAGTATGCTGAAGTTAATTTTATTGTAGGTTCCCAGGCTTGTGGAAGGACTGCGGGGTCATAATTGTTCCCAAGTGGCAGCTGCTAAGGATCATACTGTTGTATTAACTGAAGATGGATGTGTGTATACATTTGGTCTAAATATTTTTCATCAATTAGGAATTATTCCTCCACCTTCCAGATGTAATGTACCCAGACAGGTAAACTTCTCTTTTTTGATCAATAAGGTAACTAACTATAGGCTATAAAACCTATATGATCAAGAATAGCAGATATTGACAGAACAACTTATTTCATTTATACCATTAAATATGAAGCTAAGTAACACATTTTCTTTTATTCATAGGCAAAAATAAGCAGAGTTCAAATTAGTCTTTGTTTGGAGTAAGAAAGAAAGCACTTGAGAAATTAGGTATTTGGGAGATTAGCCAGCAACCTGCCATAGATTCATCTTTTAAGTATTTTTAAGGAAAGAGAGATCTAGGATTTTTGAGTTTGAAACTTAAATTTTAGGCCCTCTGCAAGCATGAAATTTCTCAGTACAAAATGGGCCTACACAAGTGAGATGCCCAAAAATGTAAGTTTTTTTTTTCTTTATTAAATCTCCTATATTTGATTAGTTGATGCTAGAGGACAAGGTCCAAAGCCACTGTACTTTGTTCAGCTTTCACTCCTATCTGCACTGTCACTATCAGAAGGTGCCCTTTCACCAACTTCAGACACCTGGTACACAGGATTGGGATGGGTGCAGTCTAATAAATTAATGTTATTAGAATCTTCACCCATAATAAATGTGTTTTTAGCTGATAAAATTTTATATGTTAAATTTCTTTATTGGCTTAATCCTCTGGGTTTAAAATTAATAATAGATACACATTTTTGTTAACCATTTAAAAATAACAATTTTTATTCTTGATGACTAGTAAGTCAGTAGGAATTACCCCAAAATAATTAGTAGTCTCTAATGTGTAGCTTTCTAGAAGGTCCCTTTTCTCTAGCTAAATGGAATATATGGATATTTAATCATTTTTTAGACTTCTTCAGTAATGGAAAGTAGAGTTTGCTCTCATTTTTATTCTCATTCTGTAGCTACCTTTACTTTGAAACTGTGGGTTGAAATGGTCATGTCTAATGTTCTCAACTGGGGACAGTTTTGACTGCCAAGGGCCATTATAAATAATGTTTGGAGACAGTTTTGATTGACACAACTGGAGGAAGCTGGTGATGCTACTTAAGCTATGAGTAGAGTCCAAGGAGCCTGCTAAAATGTCCTATCGTGGCATAAGGCAATTCCTTACAATAAAGAGTCATCTGGGCCAAAATGTCAGTATTAATTCTGTTGAGAGACCATGGATATGTCAGATTTAAAAGTGCTGGGTTTTCTAATGAGCATGCCTATTTTACGTATCACTTCTTAGAAAGAAAGAAATAGCCAGAAGTTTAATGATTTTTTTTTTTTTTTATGCCAGGTCAGATTTCTATGTAAAAAGTGTTAACTGAAAGTGACTGTATCAAAATGTCCTGTGTGCTAAGAGGGGTTTGGGTCTCAGCATGGGTGAAAACTATAATTAGCACTGGTAGCAAGTGGGTCATCCGTTTGGTTCCCTAGTCTACTGGATCTCTGAATAATTGTGCTAGATCATAGATACATATAGCACACTACTGTCTTATTACTCTTTTTGAGTAGATGCAGGCAAAATATCTGAAAGGAAAAGCAATCATTGGAGTAGCGGCAGGCAGATTTCACACAGTACTCTGGACCAGAGAAGCTGTTTACACTATGGGACTAAATGGTGGACAGTTGGGTAAGAAATTTTTGATGACAACACCTGATAAATAAATTGGACTTTTAAAATGAGTATTTTGTGATTTGTTTATTTGTATAATTTTTTAGGTTATTTATTAGATCCCAATGGAGAAAAGTGTGTGACTGTTCCTCGTCAAGTCTCTGCCCTTCATCATAAGGATATCACTCTGTCTTTGGTCGCTGCAAGTGACGGGGCCACAGTCTGTGTTACCACAAGGGGAGATATTTACTTACTTGCAGACTATCAGTGCAAGAAGATGGCTTCTAAGTATGTATATTTATATGAATGAAACCTAACTTTAGTAATAATTGAACTCTTCTGGCAAATGTCTGAGCGTCAGCTAAATGCTATACTCTGTGAATGTCAAGTGGAAATTGAATGGGGAAAACATGAGGAATTTTTGCTTTTGAGGATCATGGTCTTTTTGCAAGGATCCAGTGAATCTTATGTAAAGTGTCTTTGTAAGTTATGAAACAATATCTGAACTATGTTTAACATATGGTCATGTATGACCTATGGGCTCTTTTTTCTTACTTTCTGCTTCAGATGCACAAAACTAGATTAACCAGAATTCTTGGTTTGTGACAATATCATCTTTTACTCAGGTGTAGCCTTTTTTTAAACTAAACTCTCGTAATTAGATACCACGGTCCCTATATTCATGCTCAGTGTTTGTATCTAACTGCTTTGCTTTTTTTATCTTTGTATTTGTGCAGACTATTCTAATCCAAAAGCATGTTGTACTTTCATGCAGTAAAATAGCAGTTGAATCAAGAAGTCAAAACAGAGAATCTTGAAAATTTTAAAATATGGATAGATCCATCAATTGGAGTGTCCTTTCTTTTGTATATAAACCATACTCATAATTTATTATCTATAAGACTAGCCTGTGACTTGGTGGTTAAGTGATTTAGACCCCACATGGCTGACAGAAGAGTTTGAGTATGGGACCTGGTGGTTGGAGAAACACTCCAGGTACATGTACATGTGCATATGCATGTGAGCCTGGATTCCCCAAAGGAGAAAGATGTGGGGGAAGGGATTACGGCATGACTATGACCTCGGTGTTGTGGGGGATGCTTTCTTGCTTTCCCTCTTCCTTTCTCTGCAGCCAGTACATGTGCCTTCTGTCAAATTTGTAAAAACAAAAAAAAAAACAACTCACCCGTAATTTCATTTGAAGGATTTAAGAAGCCAATGCTTAAAATGATGAAGTGATCGTAGGACAGAATCCTGTATTTTTTTATTTTATTTTTTTTTGGAGAGGTTTTTCACTATAGGGCGCATGTGCTCGCCAGACAGACAGAGAGAGACAGAGACAGAAAGCGAGAAATCACCCCCCAGGGGGGATGGTCACGCCGCAATCCCTTCTCCTCCATTCTCCTCTCGGGATCTTGGGCACGCACGCACACGTGCCCAGCGTGAGTTTTAAGCCACCGGGTCTGGGACGCGAACCACGGTTGACTACGTAGGAGTCCAGCAACATAGCCATTACGCTAACTACTGGCTCCCAATCCTGTATTTTTATTACAGTTGCAATTTTTGTAGTTGATTAATCCATATCTGATTTAATAGCAATTTTTTGCTGCTCATAGGTATTATATCATCCCAAATTATTCAACTTGGATAGAAACACTTTTTCAGGCTAATATTACATTATGTTATGTAACTATAGTAATACATACAAGTATAGGAATAAGTCTTTGCCCAAATATAATAATTCCTGGGAGCATATAGCTTAATGAGTGGAAGCAATTAGGGGATAAATTCTAAAGAATAGCCATCTAATTTTAAAAGCAATTATGGATTTAAATTTAAATGCAATGAAACATGCTTGTACCTAATGTAAAAGAGATGATAACATCAAAAACAGGTGTCGGGAACCAGCAGTTAGTGTAATGGCTATGTCGCTGGACTCCCACGTAGTCGACCGCGGTTCGTGTCCCGGACCCGGTGGCTTAGAACTCACGCCGGGCGCGTGTGTGTGCGTGCCCAAGATCCCGAGAGGAGAATGGAGGAGAAGGGATTGCGGCGTGACCATCCCCCCTGGGGGGTGATTTCTCGCTTTCTGTCTCTATGTCTCTCTCTGTCTGTCTGGCTGAGCGCACGCGCCCTATAGCGAAAATCTCTCAAAAAAAAAGAAAAAAATAAAATAAAAACAATCCTGTGAGGTAGATGCTGTTGTCTTTTATTGCACATGAGGAAACTGAGATTTGAAAAAGTTGAGGCCATCATTTCCGATATTCATTGGGTATTTCAAACTCTACTTTTGCACACTGCTCTACTTCCTTAAAGTTAGGTGTGCCTATATATAATAATAGGTCATTGGGAAGGTCACAATACATTTTTCTGTTTTTTTTTTTTTTTCTATAAAAAAAAGCTGTCATG